CACTGCCCGGCACAGCCTGTGGATTCTCGGGTGAAATGGAGAAGCTGGAAGCACGCCCTGGACTAATTGTGACTTCCAGGTCTGGTGTTCTTTTCCAAGTCATCTTCTCGCCATTGTTCCTCTGCAAAGCCCACTGAGAGAAGGGATGAAATGTCACCAGCCATATAGTGTGCACCTTAAGACACCCATGGAGAGGTCATGAGTTAGCCGGGGCGCAGCTGATGGCCTTCCTGCCTTCTCACACAGTGCTTCCTTCTTGGTGCTCTCACAGTTGGAGGCTTCGGCAGGACTGAGGACTGGTGCTGTGTCTGGGGAGAGAGCTTCTAGGCCCCCACCTAAGTGGCAGTTGTTGGGGAGCCAGCAGCATGGATGCAGAAACCCACACTTGGTCTGGGGTGACTGAGAGTGGTGCAGGTGGATGTCTGGGCTGGAGGACACGTGTGGGCTCCTGGGTCCAGGCATTTCCTACGTCTGGAAAGCAAGACGCCAGTCAGAACATTCAGCAAGGGCCTTGAGTTTAGCGTCTGTTATTGTGGCAGATGGCAAGATGCACTAGAACAGGGCCTGAGGATGGACTGAAGGGACTTAGCTCCTGGCATCCAGTCCTTCTGTAGGGCAAGAACACAAATGGAGGCTCATGGACAGAGGGAGAGGACTCTGACCTGTGCGGGACCTCTATCCTGTCCGTGCCAGTTTCTGTAAAACCTGGGGTAGATAACAGGTAAACAGGACTGGTCTTTTGGGGCAGAGGGAGAATTTCTGCTTTTCTACACTGCATTTTTTTTTAACGCACAAAAACGTGAGTATCAGATAATCGTTTTTTTTGTTTTCTGCAGTAATAAAATCTTAAAAATAAAACCTAATCACTATACCCTTGGATGTTTGTGCTGAACACGCATGTTCAAAGGTCACGAAGATACGGTTTCCTGGCCTCAAACGCCTGTCAGCACAAGCCTACACTCCTTTGCCAAGGCCATCATCTTGGTCTCCCATTGCTTCAGGCAGCTGAGGAACCACTTTCTCTCTCCCGCTCAGTCTTAGATCCTCAGAAGTGCTGCAGGGACAGATTCGAGAAGTGAAGGCAAATTCTTTTAATGTGGCTGGCTTCAAGTACATCTGGCCAGAAAGTGCCACCAAAGCCTCCCCTAACAAGATTCAACTAAGCGATGCTTATTCTTTTTGCCTTAAAAAACAAAGTTGTGTGGATTAGAACGGGGTTTTTTTTACCCAGAGGGGGGAAAAATAGCCATTGTTAACGACAGCAGGTGGAGTTGATGAGAAAATAAAACGGAGGTTTTCCCAAGAGACCAACGCCAAGAAGGGAAATGTGGTATTTGGTGCAGGTCTGCCCCCTATGGACCAGATTCTCAACTTACGGGGTTAACTGAAAGGCTCTGACTGCTATGACCTTGAGGCCACGCTTGCCCCTTTTTACTGCCACCTGATGCCACTCCCCAGGTTAAGGCAGCCTCAGGGACTTCCTCCTTTCCTGGCTCCCTTGGCTTGGAATGTGACCTGGGGACTCAACCACGTACCCGCTGCAGGGAGAATGTCAGATCAGGAAAGGGGAAGTTTTAAGAGACAAGCTTTCCTTTCCTGTCTGGGAGCAGTGTGTATTTCTAGCCCATACTGACGTGTAGCAAGGCAGTTTCCATCTTGGTCACAGTGGAACAATGATGAGCCACAAGATGTCCAGAGTTGTCTCCCCAGGTTGTGAAATAGCTTGATGCTTTGTCTGCCTATGGATTCTGATGTCCGGTTATGACTGAGCCAAAGACACTGGCCTAAAAGAGCAATTACGATAACTCCTTTGCAAATGGCCTGTCTTACTAGCCCGACTCCTGCCTGATCACCAGGGCCCTGGGCTCTCTTGCTAGACACCTGGCACAGGATGGCGAGTAAACACATTCCTGTGTGCTTTGAGTCCTTTCTAAGGGTCATGTTGGGTCTCCTGCTATCAGACGAAGCTTGGTGGGACCATGAAGCAAGCCATGAGGGGCAAGTCAGTAAGCGGCACCCTCCATGGCCTCTGCATCAGATCCTGCCTCCAGGTTCCTGTCCTGCAAGTTCCTGCTCTCACTGCTTCTGCTGACCAACTGTTAACAGGAACTGTGACTGAAATACACCTTTTCCTCCCATGGTTGCTCTTGGTCATGGAGTTTCTTCACAGCAAACCCTGTTGGGAGCATTTGAAGTCCTGGCCTCCAGCTGCTCTTCCCTGCTAAAGATCTTTACTTTCCTTCTGATTTGAGTTACTGAAAGCTGTGTCAAAGTTGTTTACCAGCTCTGCTTCAGGAGCACGAGCATGAGCACGTGTTGTCTTGGCCTTGAGGATCTGAGGATAAGGTTTTCACCTGTTGGCCCATCTGACTGTGTTGGGTATATAAGCCTCCGTGGTGCTATTGAATAGAGGGCTTCTTACCAGTGACTAAAGGTCCGTGTCTGTGTCTCTCTGTCTGTGTGTTTATATGTTTTAACCTCCAGGCCCTTGCCCGAAGCTCACGAACTGTATGGTAGCAGATAGAGCTCAGACAGGCGTTGTGTGCTGCAAAACCCTAAAACACTAGTCTTGAGGCGTGGTGGTGTGCGCCGTGGAGCTCCTCTCTGCCTGCTCTCGTCCTGACTCACCACTGTTTGCTCCCCGCCGAGGAACAAGTCGGTCTGGAAGCCCGGACTGCAGCCATGGCTTTCAAAGACACCGGGAAGACGCCCGTGGAGCCCAAGGTGGCCATCCACTACCGCATCCAGATCACGCTCACCAGCCGCCAACGTGAAGTCGTTGGAGAAGGTGTGTGCCGACCTGATCAGAGGCGCCAAGAAGAACCTGAAAGTGAAGGGGCCGGTGCGCATGCCCACCAAGACCCTGAGTATCACTACGAGAAAAACACCTTGTGGGGAAGGCTCCAAAACGTGGGATCGTTTCCAAATGAGAATCCACAAGCACCTCATTGATTTGCACAGTCCTTCTGAGATAAACAGATTACGTCCATCAGTATTGAGCCGGGCGTGGAGGTTGAAGTCACCATTGCAGATGCCTAAGTCAACTGTTTTAATAAGTTGACTTAATCGGTTAAAAAAAAAACCCACTTAGTCTTACAGTAGAATAAATGTAATAGCAGGGATGCTGGGCCTCGCTGCAGACAGATGAATCAGGCTTCTGGACTTGAGGCCTGGGTATGGCACTTCCGAATGTTTTCCTGTTGACCCGGTCTAAAGCCATCTTACTGCAGGAAAGCATCTTACTGCTGGGGTAAGCCGAGTTCTTTACTGCACAGCAATGCGAGTTGGTGTGTAACCGACATTATAATATTCTAACGTGCCTTCTTGTATTACAAAGACTAAGTCATGTTATGTTCCCGTGTGGGTCCTGGGGATTGAACTCAGGTTATCAAATGCTTGTACCCCCCCCCCCAAAAATGCTTGTACCCACCACACCACCTCAACCAACCAAGATTAGCCCCCCACCCCCACGGTGACACAACCAAGTGTCAGCCTTTTACTAGTTGTCATTTGTGTTCATCAGTGTAAATGTTCACACGGTGCAAAAGTAAATCAATGTCTGAGTGCTGTGAAAACATCTGGAAGCTCCTGAGGTGGATTTCACTTTGAGAGCTGACTGTGTCTAAGAAACACTGCGGAAAATGAGTTGCAGTGACAGAGCAAGATGAGGCAGTCCAGGAGAAAGGGATGTGTGCCTGAGAACTGGCGGGCAGGAAGAGGGAAGGGCCGGGGCAGAGGCACCTCAAGACAGAATGGAACCAGGAATACCTTCATGGTGGCTTCTGTAGGTTTAAGTCTCCCTCAGCAAGCTATGAGAGCATTTTTCTACACGGTTTAGTTGGTGTGTATGTTGATATACTGAGTCAGGGTCTATAGTCCTGGCTGTCCTGTAACTCAGAGAACCTTCTGCCTCTGCTTCCCAAGTGCTGGGACTAAAGGTGTGTCCACACCTCAGCTGTGCTGTGTGCCTTTCACCAGACTATCCCAGAGTTCAGGGTGATCTCTGGAGGTTAAAAGGCAGCCGGAGTCACATGGTAAGGCCCTGTCTCAAAACGAACAAAACCCCAAAGCTACAATTTAAATAAAGTTCAGGTGGCCACATTATTCATTAATGATGAAATCAAAAGCAGCGGTGCTGATTTTTCTTATGGGGAAGATCTGTGGGCATGAACGGTTGCTCTGTGATTTTAACAGATGGAATTTATCTCCGAAGGAAACAGAATGTTGTAACCAAACACTGTGATTGTCACTTTTCATGTTCCATGACTTAGGCCTAGCAGCAAGCTCACATAGAGACGCCACTGTTCACACAGACCGTCCGCACGATGCCCACACTCAAGCAGCACTGTGGGAACCCGGTCTCAACCCTGGTTCTAGAGTACTTCACTTATTACAGAGGACAGCATAGGTTGTTAGGTTGGCAGCATGCACCTTCACCTGCTGGCCCATCTCACTGCCCTACTTTCCTTTGAGACAAGGGATCACACAGCCCAGAATACAGCTGATCCTCTGTCTACTTCTGCAGTACTGGAACCGTGGTGTGTGTCACAGTGTCATTTTATGCAAAGATGGGACTCAGACCCAGGGTTCCGAGCATGCTAGACACTCTGCTGAGCAACACTCCCGCCATCATTATGGCCTTCCCGTGTGTGTACATTTGCTTGGTTCTTATTCCCCGCCCAGCCTCCTCCATCCCTCCTCTCCCCAAACAGCTCCCCTTTCTGCTTTCATGTCATGTGTATTCCTTTATTCTGTCTCGGTCCCTTCCCCACCTTCAGACCAATGTGGTCTTTTAAATGTGGCACAAACCCGAAGACAGACGCCGTGAGGTCTCTACGAGACACTGAAGATGCGTGAGGTGACAGACACCATGCAGTCCTGGGGAGCAGTGTCTCACTCTGTAGGCCGGGCTGGCCGTGAACTCACACCCTCTTGCCTCAGTCTCCCAGGTGTTGTGCTCAACCTTCACAAGTCTGAGTGCATACGTGCATGGGGGGATATGCTGTCAATCAAAATTTCCATGTTTATTACATAATTACACAGAATTTTGAGGAATAAAAAGATTTATTTAAAGATAAAACTTGTAAATATATCTTGATACAAAAATGTGGGTATCAGCCATTGAGATTTCTTTTGTTGCAACCAGAGTTATTTACAAGTGCGTAAGTGTGTCACAGTCAAGAAAAGCTTGCTTTTCTTTATCTCGTTTTGTACTGCTGGGAATGACTTAGGACCTTGCCCACGCTTTGCCAGTGCTCTACCTGGGCACAGGCTTTTAGTGTAGAGGGTCCTAGGTGGTTGGAACAGAGCTAATGTAAAACCAAGCAGCTCAGAGCTGTGCTACAGTTTACATCCTTCAGAGCGCCCAGTGTCACACACCTACACCAGATAACAGACACAGGGGAGTAGGCACACAGTTGAATTTTGGCAGACTGGAAAGGCCCTGAAATGTCTTTGGGGCTGGGAAACAAAACAGAGATACTGCATTTCTTGAACATGTTGCGGTGATACAGTTTCTCCCCAGGCCACCACTGGTTAGCTATGCTTCAATAATGATGTATCAACCGGATCGTACTAGAAAAGTCACAGGTTGCTGTTTATGTGACGGAATTATGGAGTTTAATGAAAAACCCAACAACAGTCCTACTTATTTGAAGGACGTTAGCCATTTTAGATACACCGAAAATCTTTTATATATAGATATTTACTAATATAAAACTAGATATTTCAATGAGCACAGGAGGGGACTACACTACAATGGAGACGTTACTATTATTGTCACTATTGTGCATAATACTGAGCTGAGTGAGAGACACCATGAGGCACATATACAGTGGGGGGTTCACAACGCACCGCACCCTCGACAACCCTCAGCGCACCAGTGGCCATCTCTTCTCTCTCAGGTTGAACTCATGGTAAGAGCAGAAACCATGGGCATGTGTGACAGTGAACTCTCTGCCCTGGCCAGCGGGTGTCTTGTCAGCCATGACACACGAGAATGCACTAGAGAGCATGAGCAGCCACTGCTGCAGCTGCGACGGAAAGGCTCTAAATTTGAACAAACTGCCACAATTTAAATCTCTAGCAGGAGACAGGCTAGTAAATTCAGATATTTTAACCTACTAAGTAAGACGCCTGTGCCAAAAGGAGTACTGTCCCGGTGTCCCGGTGTCCTGCTGTCCGGGACATTATTTTCCGGTGAGCAGAGCGTGCTCTCAGAAATGCCGCTGTCGGAAGGTGGACGGCCTGCACCCTCAGTGTTTACCACACACCCAGCGGAGCTGATGCTCTGTCTGCAGGTCCGTCAGTTCCTCAATAGTCCTCCAGCTACACTGGCAAGCATACGCCCGGGCTCCTTTCTTCTGGACCAACTTTGCTTTCAGTTTGTGGAATTCCGGCATGTTGTTCCTATGGCAAAACAGGCAGGCTTGAGTACAGTGTCTGTGCTTGGTGTTTCACGACACAGAAGAAGAAAAGTCCTGCTGGGTGGTCTGTCACGACTGTGTTCTTGGGCCGCAGTACTGCTAATGGCAATCTTCGAGATGCGACTGTTCTCAAGGATCACCCATGTCACTACTCAGAGACGACACGGATGGGAAGGGAATGGACCCCTCCCCTGTGCCAAAGAGGCAGTGGCAGGAAAGGCGGGCTGCTGGCTTCTACTACAGCACACTTGGATCACGAGGGGAACAACCTTCTCTATGCTGAGCTCATTCCCTTCACTTGTTTAAATCACCTGCTTATTTATTATATCAGCAACAAAATACCTATCCTGAAGTGTGAATAATGCAAAAAGTAACTGAAGACAGTTATTAAAATGATAACCATTGGCTTTGATTGTAAGAATATGGAAGTTACTGTAAGTTTAGTTATTAAAGAAAATCAATTATGATCTTTATGCATTATATTTGTGAACATAAATTATTGGAAAATAAAACTGGACAAGCTAAAAATAAAATATTGGAAAAAAACCCAAGAGAAATGATGAAAGGCAGAGCACAGGCTAACAATACATGACAGTCTCCACACTGCCCCCTGGTGGTCAATGTGTGCTAACTCAGACGCTTCAGACGGTGAGAAGCTAAGAAAACCCTAGAGACTTTCAGGGCCAAGTGTCTGAGCTTGGTAAAGTGACACTTCTACCAGCAGTAACCTAGCTAGGGTTATGAAGAGCTAGAGCAATAACAGAAATATATGGTTTTATGAGAATGAAAAACAAGCCCAGTAAAACTAAGTCAACGAAATGAGCTAAAACATCTCTGCACTGGCTTCTTGCAAGCTGCCCTCTTGGGTACCCACAGCCAATCCCAGGGGTTCAGATGAAATTCCTCCCAGAGCTTCAGAGACACTTTCAACAGTATTTGAAATCCAGTGTTTAGCCCCTTCCATCTGTGAACTAGGGCACTTGTCCTAAGATGCTGTCGGCGATGTCTGGTACCTCTGCTCCGTTCTGCCATTCTCACTGCTGTGATTGTTACTGTACCTGTACCATCCCTCATCAGTCCTAGTGATTCTCCACTGGCCTGCTTTCCCTACACAGTAGTCCATTATCCCTTAAAAGCTAAGGGATATAAACCCTTATATCCTATAAACTGATCACCAAGGAAACAGGCAGGAAAATGCCACAAGTTCCACATCTTGGTCTGCTAAGGAAGTTCCAGGCCAGCTATAGCGACACTGCAAAGCTCTGTCTCAACATACAAAACAAAGCTGACGTCTGCATTGGCCTCTCTCCAAATGAAATTTCAGCTGTGAGTTGAACTCCTCACTATTGCTGACCCTACACTGCGCAGCCCTTGCCATCTCTGCTCCTGTTCAGACTTTTCTGACTCCCACCATGCCATGCGATTCACCTCTCTCTGTGCCTTTAAAAATAGCCCGAGTGCCACGGCCACAGCTGTGCTCAGAGTCTGGATGCTGCAGGTGAAGCGCACCCACCATCCTGTCCTCCAGCTCCACTGTCACCCTTAAGTGCATGTTCTCTGCCCATCTCCCTCTTAAAGCACCCTGACAAGGAGCCAGAGAACGCCTGTTGGTAAGAAACGCTAAGGAGTGACAGGACACAGACGCATCAGTGGCTGGCACCTTGGCTGAGACAACCAGATTCTCCAGTTGTTTCATTCTCTTGTTTTCTAAACATACATACTCTTGAGTATCTTGAGGACTCAGGTTGTATTTTTCACTGATTTATGTAACTAGCTTATTATTATTATAATTATTATTAGTTTTAATAATTTAGAATAATAATCCTAGTAATCACTACTTTAAGTAAATTATATGTTAAAACGAGACTACCAAACATCTGGAGTAAAGTGACTGGTGTCTATTTTTTTGTGACAAAGTCTGATCTTGAATTCACTGTTGTTCTGCCTCAGTTTCCAGAGAGTACCCATGTCTGCCATTCTAGAAGAATGAGACACCACATATTTCTCATGTCCCAAGTCAGTCACTTACAAAGTCACTTTGTGCCTGTGCTCACTACTGTTCAGATGTCACATACACCTTACTATCCTAAGTCTAACAATTCATGTTCATGTTCCTGACCTATGAGAACCAGACACTTGTTAGATTAACCAGCAGACACTGAACAGCAAAACCCAACCAAGCAAACAATGGCATTCTCAGAGCTCTGCCCTGGTGTGGAGCATGCAAAGGTTGTGGGCACAGGAATCAATGAGGCAGTTCTGTGCCCTTATTCAGAACACACCCTTATTTAGGCTGACAGCAAACAGAGGAAAAGGAGGGGAGGAGGAGGGGAGCTAGGCCCACGTGACTGAACTAGCAGATCAACAGTGCAACAAAGAGAGACACGAAAAGCCGTTGGTCCATTTTCAAGATGTGGTACTTTGAGAGAAAACGGCCCCCAAAGGGAGTGGCACTAATAGGTGTGGCCTTGTTGGAGGAAGTGTGTCACGGTGGGGCAGGCTTTGAGGTCTTAGCTCAAGCTTCCCGCAGTGTGACAGTCAGTTCAACTTTCTGTCGTCTGCAAGGACTCGCAGCTGTTTCTGCAGCACCAGGCCTGCTCTGTGCTCCCATGCTCCCAGCATGATAATGGACTGAACCCGACATGTCAGTCCCCTCAACTAAACCTTTTCCTTAAGACTTGCTGTGGGCATGGTGTCTCTTGGCAGCAATACAAATGCTAAGACACAGGGTGAAATTCTTCAGAAACATACCTGAAGAACAGGTAATCACATGATTTGTCCCACATATAGTCATTGTAGCTCACTATCCGGAAATCACAGGCTATACAACGCAGCTGGTCACATGCTCTGGTCAGAGAGAAAGAAAGATGCGTTAAAGATGAGCTGTTCAAATAGGAAAATACAGTGGCACACTCCAGATAACCGAATAAGCAACAGAAAGGAATGGATTAATGATTGCAATTGTTTGCACTAGAGGACCGTTTATGTGTTTAAGCTTTCTGGCTGGATATGGTGGCACATTCCTCTAATCCCAGCACTTGGGAGATATCTGGTACTATGAGTTCAAAACCAGCCCATCTTTCTATAGTGATTTCTAAGCCAGCCAGGGTTATACTACACAGCAAGACCCTGTCTCAAAAAAATTAAATAAAAAGTTTCCAGGTTATTTTTTACATCTAGCTTATAAATATTTCACACAATACATAGACAAATGAATACTATATGGATATACAGTGTCAGATTGGCAGATCGAGGAATATAATTGCCACACTGAGAAACTGTCTTCAAGAAAGCACCATTTCTGGAGCCATCACTGGTTTGCTTGTCTTAGGTTCTAGTGAGAGGTAAACTGAGTAGCCCTCACTGTGAGTAAGTCATTAGTTTGTTAGAAGAGCAGGGCAATGCGATTAGGAGTCCTGGGAGGAGATGGTAGGGATTCTGAACAGGGCAGCCTGGACTGGCCTCACTCACAGGGCCTATCTGAACACTGTGTACTGACGGCAAGGATGCAATGAAGAGCAAGGTTGTGAGTGTGCTGGGCAGCAGGAGCAGACAGGGCGGCCCTCAGGGACTGTCAAAAAGACCACGTGACAAGCAAGTCTCCTGGAGGTACCATGTTGAAGCATTATGTGCAGAGATGCTAACCATAAAGAAAGTGGTAACATATAGTAAGTTTAAAAAGAATTATGAATTGTTGCTGCAGCAACAGAAACAGCCATTATTTGAAATATTTAATAAACAAATTCAATGGATACATTTAATAAAAACTAAAAGTTGATGAGTTGTTAAGACACACCCAGGGAGAGGAGAGAAGAGGGAAGGAGGGAGAGGGGAGAGCGCGCATGCACCGTCGACTGGTTCACTCCTACGTACTAAGCACTTAGAGGTGACAACAAAGCGAAGAGGATCATTTCTGTGTGACCAGTGCAGATGCTGGCTCTGAGCACAAAGGAATAGCCAAGGAATTTCCTTGTGACTCACTTTTTCTTTTTATATTCCAATTTTGCTTTTGTTCTTTTCGATAGTGTGTTGTTTCAATATATTTTACTAATATACTTTTTCAGTAATATTTCTGTAACAAAACAAACCAATTATTAGACTTTTTACTTTGAAATTAAAATACAGGCTAGGAAGGTGGCACATGCCTGTAGCCCCAGTACTTTTAAGATGGGGTGGAGATCATCATTGGCTAATGGTGAGTTCAAGGCCAGCCTGGACTGTATGAGCCTATCTCAGACTTTAGATACGTAACTTTTAAACTGAATAACACTGGAAAACTTTTGGTCTCAAAGCTTCCTTGAGAATGAATATTCCTAAGAGTATCAGTCACAACCAAACATTTACAGTGTTTCACAGGAACTCCTTTTACACTGTTTGTGGTTGCTGAGGCTGTGCCGTTCCTGTGGCATTTCAACCCAGTTGCACTCTAAGGCTTGAATGATGGTCCCCACGGCTCCTGAACTGTGTTCTTATGCAGATGTAGTTTATTACATGCTCACAACAGAGTGTTAACTTTAATGCCTTAATACATATGTGCAATATGGCTGAATTATTGCTACTGTGGGAACCATAATTTAGATTTTCATGACATTTTATGTGTAAAACCTCAACCATTATGTTTAATATAGTTTTAAATTTAAATTTTATTGGTTTATCAAATCTATTCACACTACTATATTTTCTTACAAACACTGGCTTTCATAGGACAATGTGCAGCTAAGACATTACCCTGCTGCCGTGAGCACTCCGTGATCCCAACCAGTGCGGGGGGGGGGGGGGGGGGGGGACTTGCAAGGAGTTTACAAATACATCAACCTACAAATAAGGAGAGAACTTATTTGGCTTGAAAAGGATGCCTCAGCTGGGCGGTGGCAGTGCACACCTTTAATCTCAGCAGTGAGGAGGCAGAGACAGGTGGATCTCTGTGAGCTGGGGCCAGCCTGGTCTACAGAGTGAGTTCCAGGACAGCCAGAAACCCTGTCTCAAAAAAACCATAAGCAAACAAATCCCCCCAAACAGAAAAAAATATCAAAAACCAAAATTAGCCACCCTTCAGTCAAAATAACAAACAAACAAACAAAAACCAAAACCAAAAGGAAAGGATGCCCAGTCTTATGTAGACCACTTGTCCACGACACCACGTTCCCACCACATTCCACATCCTTGCAAAGACTTCAATGTCCACACTCCACTCACAGTCTGCATTAGCCCTACACTGGAGCTCAGTGCAGGAATCCAGCGAGTGACATGAACAAGCACAGCACAGCTGACTCCCTTTATGCCCTGAACATGAAAACTGTACACGCACGCACGCAAGCACGCACGCACACACACATGTGACTACTCACTTTATGATAAGGTCATGTTCCAACACACCCCTCCTAAGTGAAAATGGCATGTAGCATATGTAACTATCATACATCACAATACAAAGTAAGCTTACTGGTTGCTAACCTTGTGACTGAGTGGTTCACTGTCCCTGCCCAGCACCCAGAGAGAATTATACTACATACTGGGAAAAGACAAAAATTATTAAAAATTAAAATATGGCTAATGAACTGAATGTGTTAGTCATGTTGGAGCCAATGTAAGTCAAATATCTGTTAGAATAAAATAATATAAAATTATGATTCCAATAAAGAATAAATTTAGTATTTTCCCGTAAAATATGAAGGGACTATATATACTAAGGAGGTGTTTCTATGTTTATCCAACTGCTAGGAGAACTGACCATTTTATGGATGTTTTTAGTAGGAATGTCCAGAATAGTTCTTCCACATATCTTGCCCAGACTCTACAGTTCTTAGTTAAATCCAATCCAATCTACACAGAGTGCTAGAAAGGCTTGATACTTGGACAGTTTCAAAGTAATATTGGCTGGCTAGGTATGTCATCACCTGCCTGTAATCAGCACCTGAGGAGCAGAGGCAGGAGGATCAGGAGTTCTAGTTCTTCTTGTCTGTATGGTGAGCTTGAGGATAGCCTGGGCTACAAGACACTTCACATCAAAATAAAAGCCCAAGCAGCAGCTCTAACAGTGGAGCAGCTAAGAGCCTTCCTTTTCACATATTGGAGTCTGACATAAGAATCAGGTTACCAACGTGAGCCCTTGCTTTCTAACAAACCATCCACTGATGCTGGGACATCACCTGGGAGCCTTTTTTGTCCAGGGCTGGGTGAAGAAACAGGATTTTGCTATGTAGCTATGGCCGGCCTGGTCTTACTCTGAAGTCCAGGCTGCTCTCAAACTTGTGGCAACACACTCTCAAGTGTTGGTGTTATAGGCATATAACGTGATAGGTTAGTAGACCAGGCTATTTGGAAGGCATTCTTCTCATTCACGTATCTGTTTGTGTGTGTGGATGTCAGAGGACAAGCTCCAGGATTAGTTCCCTCCGTCCACCATGTGGGTTCTGGGCTCCAGCTTAGGTCACGAGGCTTGGCTGCAATACATTTCCGTCCACTGAGCCCTCTGCTGGCTCTGTTACTGTCTTCTCTACCACAGACATTTATTCTTCAAACTCTTTCAACTCCACACTCTAAATCTGAAATCTGACTTCCTTTCCTTACAGTCAGTCACACCCAGGTCACAGCTAGCTCCCTTTCTCTTTCCCCTACACTGGAGAATTCAGCCCCAGTGACTCCTCTTCTGGACCCTCTTCTGCTTTATTTCCCAGATTCCACGTCATCTGGCAGCCTGTGACTTTTTCCTGTGGTGCTGTGAAAGGTCTCACGATATCTGCAAGGAGTATGTTTGCTTTTTAAAGGCAAGGATCCTGAGCGAGGCTTTAGAAGATACACTCCTTCTCAAGGGATGGGGTGGGCAGGGCCGAGTGAAGGGCATGCTGCCCCCAGAGCCCGCCCTTCCCTTTCAGGCTCTGCACTAAGCCTCACCCTTCCCTGCTTCTCCACTGGTCACTTCGCCTTGGTCAACTAGCACAGGGCTTGGGTGTGCATTCACAGCATTTAGACGAAGAAACAAACAAGACAGACATTAAAATGGAGTAAGAAAATGAATCTGAGTAACTAATGTGAACAGAGCACCTGAGATGTGTGTTAGGAAGGTGCGCCCTCCCAGACGGACAGATGCTAAGATTCTGGGAGGCAGCACCTGCCTCAGGGTTTATTCAGGGAGAAAAGAGGAGGACCACACACTTTAGTGAGCACAGTAGTGAGCTTAGAGTGAGAGAGGCGCAGGTGGCAACTCGGCTGCCACCGGACAGGAGACAGGCATTTTGGCTCTGCCATCTTGAAGGCTGGATGCGTGTGAGCTTTGAGAAGTGGAGTGGGTGGGAGCAGAAATTGCCGCTGTAGTTCTCAGCAATGTGACAAAAGTCGCCTGCAGGTGACACAGCTCTGAAAATGAGTGAGCACAACCTAGCTAATAGGTAGATCAGGGCAGACAGCAAGACCATAGCTTCCTCTAAGGTCTCTGCGGGGGACAGGTCTCAGTGCACAATGACTAACTGCTCTCCCTTCTTTAGACAGCAGGCAGCACTCAGCTTCCCAACTTCACTTTGGTCCTGTGGCTACTTCTTCCTGGATTACTAATCCAGGCTGGCATCACCCCAACTCCACATTTCTTTTTGTGGCCCCATTTCTATTATTCAGAAGTGTAATCAATATGCAATCACTTGACCTAGGTTTTTCTTCTTAAAAATGAATAAAAAGAAAAAAGTGCTTTAGGAACAAGTAGGCAAAGAGGTAATGAGCAATGTAGGCAAGCGGGCCTCTGCCGAAGAAAGAATCAAGCGTAGCAGGCAGTGCAAACATTTGCTTACAGTCAGTTTTCTCCCAGCCTGTGAAAACGGTAAAGGAATGTGCTAGAAGGGACAGGGGTTTGCAGTGAGTGGCACCTTGACTCTACGTGAGCAGGGTCTTAAAGAGGGTGGGAAGAGACAAGAAATGGCAGGTTTCTGTTTTAGAAATGTAAAGCCCAGCGTGAGAACTCTGTTTACACAGACCTTTACTTTTTCATGTCTTCTGGCTCCATCAGTGAGGCCAAGGCACTGCATCTGCTATACAGCTGCCTCAGTTTACCTACACGAGCCAGCCTTTCACATCTGCACACGCCCCTGCTGCTCTGTAAAAACCTGGGTAGGACTCAAGTGATCCAAGTGGGGCTCAGAAAAAGGCAGCACAACAATGAACAATATATACCCGACATTACAACATTTTTAAAAAAAATATAGGTCTTGCTGTGTTGGCTCAGGCTGGCCTGGCCTTGGATTTCTATTGATCACCCAGCCCCAGACTCCCACAGGCTGGGATTACAGGCATGTGCCACCTGCACAGCTCAGCCTTGAATAGTTACTTCCAGAGGATATTTAATGAGTTACCAGTGTCCCTGGACTGGCTGGTACAATGCACAGCTCTCATTGTAGAGCGGGCTGGTGCCAAGGCAGCACACTCTGCCACAGGAAAGCCCAGCACACGCACACTGCATTTCTTGCAGCCTACCTCGGCGAGGTGTTTGTTCCAATCCCACATGGAACGGAGCTTCCACTGAGATACACCGGACTGCAACTAGATGTGTTCAGCAGATGGAGAAAAACAAAATTACACAACAACAAAGAAACACGAGAAGCCAGCTGGTCTCCAGTCTCCAGCCTATGTTCTAGTGATTGTGTTAAATGCCTCCCGCAGCAAGCCAACCATTTCAAGGAGGAGAAATTTATTACAGCATCACCCTCCATAGGATATAACCTGCATCCAGAAACACTCAAGGAGTTAAAATGAGTCACAGGAAAGTGAGTGCCAATAATGTAAGGAATAAAGTCAAAACTAAAGCATGTAACAGAACATTAATTTTGAGAAACCGTTAACACTTTTTTAACACAGCAGAAAATTATTTATAATAGCAATAATCTCCTATTTAATTTCCTTTACACTAAGTGGGCCATAGATCCTAAGCACACCCCAGATATTGCTAGTGGTCTTTTGTCTCAAGGCCAGCTGGCGCTCTGTCCTTAATGCCAATGCTGTTGATGGCCACAGAAATCTACTGGCCCATCCTCACGGTGTCTGCTCACTCAGCGGAGAATTCACCACAACAGTCTCCACTTACCTCTTACTGAGGCCTTGAACGGAAGCTCTGACAGATGTGTTACTTGAAGATTTAGATTTAAATTTTTGCTAAAAAACAAAACAAAAATAAAAGACCAAAGGCTTAGAGAACTACTTTATAACAACAGTATTTTAAAATGATGTACTAAGCATTTGGTGGTGTTTTTTCCGAATACCCACAACAGTGATGGCTACTTTCTAAAGGTAGGAGGGAAGGAGAGTGTCTGAGGAATTCGCCGTCTAAGAACTACTCTGCTGCCCCAGCACACCGAGACTTAGCGTCACTTTCTACCTCTGCAGTAATTTCATATGAAAGACCTGCTTAAAACTTTATTCTGGAAAAACTCAACTGAAGAGGGGGGAACAACCCCAAGCCCATTTTTAAAGCCCATTTTGAATGGTACTTATCTAAACTAAAATTAAATTCCTGTACAACTTCGGGATTATTAATTCTGATCAATTGTAATGATACCAAGCTACATATGAGCATGGAAAAGCCGAGCTACCTGGTCATAGCATACAGTAGTTCCTTATGTTCCGATAACATTGCCGTCGTGAGTAGGCATTTATTAAGTGTTAACTGTATGAAGTAGCAGACATCATAAACCAACCACATACTAGGACCACTGCCAACAAGAGAAAGCAAGACAGGGAAATGGCTCCTAAAACTATGCACAGACATGCCTTCATTTCACAGGGCGGCTGAGGAAGTTTAAGAGGCAAACAATTTCACTTATCCATCTCTCTTAATTTTGACTTGATGTTACACAGGAAACTATTTTGCTGCACCCATAAAGCTTCAACAGGCGCTCAGGCAGCACACTCACCCCCTGCATGGTGAAGGATCACAGTGAGACACTAAGCTGGCCACTAACACTGACTGCTGGTTCCTGGGGTTTATGTCTGTGTCCAAGGGCAGCTTCAAACTGCAGTGAGAGCGCAGAAGCCGGGGTGAAGGGCAGGACTCCCAGGACACAGCAGATGCCTTCCTGACAATGTGGGGATGCAAGTCACTACAATTCCCGCTTTCTTTAGCTGGTAAATATTTTATATAAACTTACTCTCTTCTTTATCCAGTTGGAAAACCAGATATATTAGCAAAAACAAAACAAACAAAAAACCAAATACAGAAATTCACATTCACTCAGGACTTACCAAGCCCACAGAAATAAGCTGTTTGTTAAGACAAACATATAGTTTATTGGTACAAATTTATATATGCACCTTACACTGTACTTAAGACATTTAAGCTATACGTGGTTACAAACAACAAGGGTTCTATCTGGGAAGGAAGGCAGAATAACATCACATTGAACGTCTGAAGACGCCAGAGAAGAAGAGGAGACCGCTGGTGTGGGGAGGCTTGCCTGGAGGGGGTCTTAGAACACAGGTGGTACGAAAACAGAACGGGTATTACAGGGGCAAGGTTTAAGCAGGGTGGCATTGAGGGGTGAGGAGATGAGGAGGAGAGGAAGGCAGGGTTAAGCAAAACAGTGTATGAAAAAGCCACATGGAAACCTACTACACTGTATGCCAATTAGGAAGGGTCAGTTACTTTAAATAAGTTCAGAGAATAAAATAGAGCAAAATACCGCCATGTTCAGAACGATGGGTATGAAGAGTCCCTCACACAGCAGTATATAGGTGGCTGTTACTTTTGGATGTTTACAAAGCTAAAACAGACGAACATCTAAAGTATTAAAGTACTTACAGTTAAGTCAAATCCACTGTTTTGGGATGACACTAATGTCATTGTAGTCTAGACACTAAAAACATTCCTGTACTGACAGCCAACTGCTGTAGGCCTTTGAGAAATGCGTTCTTAGACACTACCTACATCTAAGCGACAGCTAGACCTGTGGAGGATGACTTCTCCAGCAGCAGCTTTTCCCATTTCTTACTCTTGCTGGGATGACAACAGAGACAGTTTCCAACATATTACCCTCTCCAATTGTTTAAGTGGAACAACTTCATGTGTACTTCTCAGAGTTCAAGGATTACATCTGGACGGCTACTCTGCCTTACTTTCGAGACTATTCTAAGTATCTTAAATGACAGAATTACTGTACACTTAGAATGTGACTTACAAAAGGTTTTTTCTCAAAGTTTGGCTCCTCAAATATCTCATTAATAAGACTGTCAAGGTCATCTTCTTTTTGACATGTTTCTGCTGACCTGAAAGAAAACAGGCACAGAATAAACCCTCACAGACAGACAAGTCAGAGAGTGGAAACACCACCTCTGGAGGGATAACACAAGGGTGTTTTTCAGGTATGGACATACGTCACACCCTGCATGGCTTTGGGACTGACCTGATCGAGGTGACTGGGGATGGAGAAATGACAGACCTACACACAGAAAGGCTGGGATCGGGTGGGTTGTGTGCTTTGAAGGAGACAGGCCACCAACATGTGGAACTCAGTGCCCATTACAGACAGCAAGAAGAGGGGGCGGCTGAACAGCTTCTGTATGTGTTGGCTCTAACCAAGATCAGCTGTCAACAAGCCTCATCAGGAAGGCTGTGCCATTCCTGAGGGTCTGAGGCACTAGGATCCTTGACATGGCCAACCTTGTGTCACTTATGTACTTTCGGGACTTCAACCAAACCCACAGAATAAGCTGTTTGTTGAGAACAAGAAATAGTTTATTGGCACAAATTCACATATGGGCCTTACTATTATGCACTTAAGATATCTAAGCCTATGCATTATATTAAAAATGGGAATGCACTTTTCTAAATTATGTCAAGAACTTATACAGAGAATATAAAATACATAGGTTATAAATTCTAACACCATAAAGGGTTCAATTTTAACTCAAACAACTCTTTCTTTCCTAAAGAAGTCAAAGTTCATGTCAGCAAATGATCCAAAAGTGGAGATCCCTCCCCAAAGCCAAAGAACCATTGCTATGTGTCAGAATATCTCAACTGCACCAGGTTCTTCAAGGGAAGCCACCATGCCATTATGAATACAAATGGCTGCCACACAGAACACCCATCTGAGGAAACTCTGGGCTGGGGTACAGCACACAGCACAGCAATAGGTAGAGTACCTGTTTAGCATGAACACAGTCCTGGGTCCTAACTTCCAGCCAGCACCGCCCAGTCTCCTGCCACTAACCCCAAAAGTAAATATTTACTACTTGTCAGGCAGCCAGTGTCTTAAGGCTTTCATTGCTTCTGTTTCAGGCGAGGAAGACACTGAGATCCAGCAGTGTGTACAAGGACGTACAGACAAAGGGCAGTTCACACACCACATGTTATGAGACAACTGTTCTTACTGTTTTTATGTTGTGGACACTGTTGATCAACTTCAGAGTTCACTGGACCATTTTATGATTTGTCTTAGAAGATTATTTCTTTGGTTCAAATTCTTTAGAAATGCATTTACTTTGAAACTGAATACTAGGAATGTATCCCTTGTGCCAGATGGTTGATACAATTACCTGCAGACTTAGTTGTTCCTGCTCTCACTTTTATCCTTCATGCCTTTCTCTGTCTACACTGGCATTTTCCTCTGCCTTCCAAGTATGCTAAAGACTTTCCTTCCAAGAAAATAGCAGCAGCAGCAGCAGCAGCACAACTCAGCCACTCTTGCTCACAGCTGGGGCAGTTCACAGCCATCATTTGATTCACTCCCAGTAACCTACATGGCTCCCCAATCTTAGAACTACTGATTCCGGGTCAGAAAACCCTGTATGTTGAGACAGGGTGCTACTGGACATTACAGGCTGTTTTATAGGGTTCCTATCTACCTCCTAGGTGTTTATAGTATACTTTTTCCCAGTAGTGACAACCAAAAGAACTTCTCTGGCCATTGCAAAATCATCACTGGTCTAGAGAGACTAAGCTAGCTGAAGTCATTTCATTTCTCTGAACTTCATGTACTTTACCCATTGAAGCAGCTCCTCTCCAACTGCTTTCAGGTATCATGTTCTATCTCTGGCTCTGTCTCCACATCTATCGACTACAGTGCAATTCTTACCTCAAATCACTACATTCAGGTCTCAGTTCCAATTCTTAATCTTTCAGAAGCACATGGCACAGTTGTGTATGATGCCTTTAACTTTCTGTTTTTGAGAAAGGGTCTTACTATGTAACCCTGGATGGCCTGGAACTCAGAGATCAGTCTGCCTCTGCCTCTGGGATCAAAGGTGTGCGCCACTGGACCCAGGCTATAAAGATGGCCTCACGAGATTTCCTTTTTTTTTTTTTTTTTTCCCCAATTGTTTTATTTGGTATTTTTCTTAAGTGAAGAAATGGGTGGGTTCCGGGGAAGCGAGGCTGAGGGACAAATCCGAGCACCTCAAGTTATTTGGGAAAACAGCGACAAAAGGCAAAGGTGAAATCCCAGCAAGAGATTCTAGCGACTTAGCTTCTGCGTGTTTTGTGGGTGGCCACATCCTCCCCTTCCTTTAGTGCAAAGAGGTATTACTACTGTAAACGATTCTTCTAGCCACCAACACCTCAGTTTGGAATCCACCTGTCTAGTTTCAAAGCTCAGGGATAGAACGAGGCAGATGCCCACTAAACAATCACAGAACCTCACAGCAGAACCCTCAAACGAGGTCAAAGGTTGTCCCCAAAAGCGCCTCAACTGAAAAGGCTAGACCATACAACAATCAATACAATGGTGTGCCAGGTCACTTACCCTCTACAGATGACCCACGTCTCTAGCATATAGACAGAGCTCCTAGCACTGCTGTTTCCAACCTGGTCCTTTACGAGCTACCTGCCTCACACGGCTGAAACCACTAACCCATCTCTGCCCACTAAGGCTAAGAATACTGCACCTGTGCACAGATGGGAAGCTGCTCACATGCTCCATCACGCTCAATACCAAGTCCAATGATCCTCAGGAGTTACCAGCCAGCTTTGCACTGATGGGCCGCCACTGCATGCTTCGTGTGTCTTTAGGTCTTTTCACGTTAACCTCAACAATTCGCAGCTGGTTCTGGTTACTCAGTAATAGTATTCCACGCGTGAGATTAAACAAGAGCCCCAAACCACAGGACAGCACATATGATGGGGATTAAAGTGTAGAGAACAGAGAACCACCAAGGGGCAGATCTCACAGAAACCTCAAGGAGACCTTCTTATCTAGTGCAGAAAGCAACTCACTAACTTAGGTCCGTTTTTCCCAATTGCCCCTATCCTTGGACCTCAAAGCACACTGGGTGCTTTTTCCTTTGAACTTGGGGTCTCCAAATGGGTGTGCAAAGTCCATGAACACAACCTGGCTGAAAACAGATGGCCCAACAAACGTACACTAACTGTCTGACAGTTAAATTCATGTTACAAAAAAACTAACTTGAAGATTTATTTTTGTAACATCTCGCCCAGCTCAAAGGTGACAACGTCCTCTTGGTCGTTGTCAAAGGGGTTATTCTCTGTCTCCTCAGTGAGCTCCCAGAAGTGGCTCCTTCATTGGAGCATTTGCCTTTCCCAAATGTTCTAGGCAAGCGACAAGTTTCCAAAAGACTCTAGCAAGGGTTCGTGCAGATCCTAAGCCTTCACTTGAAAGGTGAATATTTTCTATTTTTGTTGAGACACCAAATACTTAAGTGTCCTCAAACTTGGACCTGGATATCAGACATTTGCTGGGCTCCATAACTTGGTGCCATGGGCAATGGGCAAACAACTGGGCTATTAATTCCGATGTTTACAATGGATACTTCTTTAATAATCAAGTCTAGTCTTCTCTAACTCCTCCTTGCGCTTACATCAGACAACAGTAGGATGGAATGGTGTCCTAACAACTGGCCTAGGGTTGCCTGGTAACGGGGTGAGGCAGGACGTTTCAGTCCCCGCACCGCAGCCTGGAAGGGAAGGCTGCGTGGCCAGGGCAGCATGGCCCTCGGAGGGGTTTAGGGGAGGGACGCTGCCGGATTCCCCGTTGGGTGAGGGCCGTCTGGTAGGGTCTGGGCTCCCTCGGGCTCGCTCAGGCGCGGGGTCCGAGCGGGGAGGGGAGGTAGCCTGCGGCCAGGCCGCTCCGCGGCGGCGGGCGGCTTTGGGCCCAGCACGTCCGTCCGCCCGCCCGCGTTCACCTGGGATCCTCCTCCTCCTCCTCGGCTCCGTTCCGGTCGCCGCTGGGGGGCCGCTCGCCCAGGCCCAGCCTCAGGGGGTCGGGGCTGCAGAATTTGCTCTCGACTTCATCCAGGAGCGCATCCAGGTCTTTCGCCATCTTGAGCGGGCGAGAGCGGGCGGGTGGTTTCCACGGCAACGCGGAAGCTCGGCGAGCCCGCCCGCCAGTCTGCATGCCCTGCGCGTGCGCAAACCGCCCTCCGCCACGGGACGCGAGCCGCCGCGGCGCCGACGTGATCGCACTCGCGGCAGCGCGGAGGTCGTGGGTCGGGGCCCGGGTCTGCCGCCGCGGGTGGGTTCCATGGGCGCAGCCTGTCCGGGCCGCGCTCCCCTCGGCTTCGGAGCAGCCTGTGGCCCCTCTCGACCCTCTTCGATCCCGCTGCGGTGCCTGACCCCAAACACGGCGTCACCCCCCGCCCTGTCCCGACCCCGGGTCGCTTCCGCGGCTGTAAAGGTCTTTAATTATTCTGGTGGGAATCGGTAAAAATCTGTGGAACCAAAACTACGGCCTGTGACAAAAGCAAATTCTTTCCCGTAGTCGGCAGGATTCGAACCTGCGCGGGGAGACCCCAATGGATTTCTAGTCCATCGCCTTAACCACTCGGCCACGACTACTGGCGGTGCTAATTTTGGCAGGGAGAGTCTATGTAGACTCTGCTCTTGCCGTGCTCACCCCGGCCGGGATCGCAGGAAAACACCGCCAGGGCCGTGTTGGTAAACGGGGCTTCGAACGTTACAGCGCCGGTCGCCCTGGAGAATTCTTAGAACCCTTTGGATTCTGTCACGGGCGAGTCTGGGACGGAGAGGGGAAAGCGAGGGAGGGCTGGAACCGCAGGCGGCTGGCCAGCCACCCACCTTCCCGGCCCCCTTCCCGGGTTCGCCTTTCTCTCATTAGCCGTTTAATGTGGCGTGCATGGTGAGACTGTCTCACCAGGTTGTAAACCATTTCTTTGAAAAGGAATATAAACCCACCGTATTTTCAATTCCTGTGCTCCGAACAGGTCGTTCTCTGTTTTGTCCGTTTTTGACAGTCTCACCATTAGCCCAGGCTAGCCTTAGAACTTGAGCTCCCTCCTACGTCAGCCTCCCTGGTGTTGGTTTGTATCATAGCCCTGTTTTTATAAGGCCACGACGTCAACATAGCTAATTGCATTTCTCAGGTCTAAAGTTGAATTAGCAAAGAATCTGGCACTCTGAACTCTGGAGACATTTGGGCCAGATGATTTAATAGTTTCATTTAATTCTTTCGAAATATTTCTAATTTTCGGAGAGCAAGATGCAGTGGTGCGCGTGAGTGAACGGTAGGTGGTAGCTTCCCAGTGGCCTTTAGTGTAGCCGTTATTTAAACGAAATTCTCTAAATCTACAGTTCTAGTAAAGGTAATGTTTAGCACACTCTAGCTATCTCTCTGAATGGTTTTCTTGCTGCTGAGGCTGCTTACATCATAAAAGTCTTAAGAACTATGGGTTTTTCCTGGGCTTGGACCTGGCAGGCAATCTGTTGTCACTAGGACTGCCTCCGTGGATTAACCTGTGGTCCTGGCTTTGCGTTCATCCTCCCAGGGGCCCCAGGGTGGTTGAAGCTGTAGACAGTTTTTTACACACACTCCACACCCAATGCATTTCTTTCCCCCAGGCTTTTCAGCTGTCCTGACAGCTCTTTTTTGATTGCTCTCCCCGCTTTTCTCAGACTGGTCTTTTCTTACTCAGACACACGGAGGAAACTTCTAATCCACCATTTTACCTTCGAAGTCTTTTTTTTTTTTTTAAACGGAAAAGCCTTTCTAGAGATGTACTTTATTCGTTTTAATTATGTATATGTGAGCATGGCTGTGTGTGGAGTTCTGGAGTGGTGGGCGGCAGGACTGCGGTGGGAGGAGCAACCTCCACCTTGGATGGCTTCTCATCAATTTTCTAAAACGTAAAAAAAGAACAAGGTGTTTTGTACACTCTCATGATTGTACATGGAACCGACTCCATCAGAACAGAGGAAGAAGCCCCCTGAAAAGGCCTCGCTTAGGGCCTGCTGTGAGGCTCAACTGTGAGCGAGTCTGCTCTTCCCGAGGACCTGGCTTCGATTCCCAGCAGTCATCTTGTGTGACTGACACCTGCCTGTAACTCCAGGTCTAGGAGGATCCAACATCGTCTGACCTTCACAGGTGTTCATGTGTGTGTGCGCGCGAGAGTTAAAAAATAGTTTGTTTTTTTTTAAAGGCTGCTCTAGCAACTTTATTCTAGGGGAAGTAATAACTAGTTGATCTCCAACTGATAGGATTAAATTAAGGATTTGTGAATCCTTGTCCCAAGGTTTTGCAAACATTCTGATCTTCATATTTCATTAAGGAGACTAGGCAAGGGCCGCAATCTAATTCACATGGTGAAAGGAGCATGTAATATATCATTATATGTATTTAGTTTCCAAAGATGCTTACAAAGGTTTTTATATTTTTGAGAATCTCATACAGGATTTTTTTTTTATCATATCAATTCCTGTCCCTCATGCAACTTCATGCTCTTTCTTTCTCTTAAGAAAACAAAAATGAAAGAAGCTACTGAAAATGATGTGTATGTATGGTTTGTGTTAGCCAGTTTCTCCCGAGCATGAAGCCTGCTGTTATCTTGAATTGCCTCCCCAACCAAGAGTGGGATTTTGTGCTCTTGCGGCTGCTCCATGCTGGGACTTGGTCTGGCTTGATTTTGTGCAGGTCCTGTGTGTGATGAGAGTCAGTGTGTGCGTCCACCCCATGGGGTCTGTGCACCCCCTCTGGCTCTTAGACTCTTTTCTTCCTTGTACCAGCTAGTTTAATGGCAAGTTGACCCAAGCTAGAACAGTGATTCTCAACCTTCCTAACACTGCAATTCTTTAATACAGTCCCTTAGGTTGTGGTGACCCCAACCATAAACTTATTTTTGGTGCTACTTCATAACTGTAATTTTGCTACTGTTATGAATCATAATGTAAATACCCATGTTTTCTGATGGTCTTAGGCAAAAGGAGGGAACCTCAATTGAGAAATTGCCCCTACAAGATCCAGCTGTAGGGCATGTTCTTAATTAGTGGTTGATGAAGGAAGGCCCAGTCCATTTTGGGTGATACTATTTCTGGGTAGATGGTCCTAGGTTCTGTAAGAGAGTAGGCTGAGCAAGCCACGAGGAACAAGCCAGTAAGCAGCACCCCTCCATGGCCTCTGCATCAGCTCCTGCCTCCAGGTTTGAGTTCCTGTCCTGACCTCCTTCAATGGTGAACAGTGGTTTGGAAGCCTAAGCCAAATAAACCCTTTCCTCTCAATGGTGGTTTAAAAGAAAGTGGCTCACATAGGGAGTGGCACTATTAGGAGGCGTGGCCTTGTTGAAGTTATTCAGAAATACCATACTGTGAACAGGCACAACTGTGAAGGAAGAAAAGCCCTATCCAGGCAGGAGATGGCTAGTGCTTCGTCCAGCCAGAGAGGTCGAAGCGGTTCCGGAAACTGGTGGTGGTCATGGAGGGTGGGCAGAGTGAGCTGTGCCAGCAGGAACTCTGAGCATCTGCAGAGCTCCAAACCAGGCAGGAGAAGACCGGCTAGCCACTCACTTCCCCTTCCCCACTTGTCTGCACTTAGATCTTTCTTTGTCTTTGGATTTCGTTGGACTTCTGCTTCGGTCTCTCTTTCCGCTCCTTTCCCTTTCATAAGGATCTGTCTGGTACTTGGGTTTGTGGCTGTTACTATGGTGACCATTCCTTTCTCGAGACGGGCTACGACTGCGCTTCTGACATCGGTCTCTCTTTTCACTTTTCTGTTTTTCCCAACAACTTTTTTCATCTTCATCATGGCCAAAGCCCCTTTCCCTGTAGATATCCTGATTAGGATTTTTGATTGGCATATATTCCTCATCTTCCTTTTCTTCAGAGCAGGGACGGGTTTTCTTTTTGTGTTTTTTTACGGGTGTGTGAGTGACTTGACTTTGAGTCTTCTGCCTGCTCATCTGGTATAAGATCATATTTTGCATCCTGTTTGGGCTTTACTTTTTCTTTCAAAACCAAATTGGATGGTTTATCCTGTTGCTTTCATACTCCATGAAATCACTCTTGGTGCATTTCCCACCTTTCTCTTTCCATTAAACCTTTGCCACAGACTGGCTAAAATCCACATGTATTCTCCTGTCGTCTATAAGTACATTGTCCATTTTGAAGAATGCTTTCTCACAGTCTTCTTCCTTTTCAAATTCAATAAAAGCATAACAGAGGGACTCTCTTGTTTTCCAATCTCAGATAACTTCACAACTTCTTATTGGCCCAAATCTCGAGAATATTACCTCCAGGTCATCATCTGTGGTCACTGGATTCAATTTACACACAAACAAAACATTTTCTGGAGGTTTCATGTCTGCATCAGGTAAGTCTCCCACCATCTCTAGAAGAATAGCTTGAGTTTTAGCCTCTTTTTCTGCCTTTATTTCTTCTAATTCTTCAGCTGATCTTCCTTTGAAGTCATCAGTTTCTTCATCTGCTCCTATTCGACCACTATCTAATTGTTCCCTTGTAGCTTCTGGTGATTGATCAGGAAATAATAAATCAGGAGGGTCATCAAACAGATCATCTAAAATCACTGTATGATTTATCCTGATATCTTGATATGGTACAAAATCCTTGTCGACAAAGGTCTCATTGATTTTCTTAACTATGTCCATGCCTTCTGTCACCTCACCAAATACTGTATGAACACCATCAAGATAATCTAGATTTTCTCCTGTAGTAATAAGAAACTGAGATCCATGTTGATCACTGCCATTGTTCACCATGGACACAGTGCCTTTCTTCTTGTGCTTAATCCGTGGCACTTTTTCTGCCTCAAAAAAGCTTGCTTGATCACCATACAGTTGTCCAAATATAGACTCTCCTCCTCGGCCAGTCCCTGTAGGATCTCCTGTTTGTATGATAAAATCCCTCTGTATATTGTGAATAAGGCAATAATTGAAATATTTTGTTTTGCACAACTTCAGAAAATTCAAGCATGCGCGCGGCCGCTCCACGGTGTACAAGTCGATAACCACGTCACCCAGTGTGGTCTCCAGGAGAACAGCCATGTCGCCGGCTTCTCCTCCTTTCGGTTATCCTGAACTAGTT